ATGTGTGAATGAATGTATTTATGGCAGTCACTTCCCTCCTCAGTTCTGAGATTTGCTTGGCTTAATGTGAGTAAATTCACTGTATGCTTGCATGTACATATTAAGATTAAAAAATTAAAACCTTTTCTCTTAGAGATAATGAGAAGTTTCTAGTTTTTATAATTTTGATATTTTAACAAAACATTTGCCACAGTTTAAAAGTCTTAGATGTGTCATAACTGCAATGCTTAATTCTGACAACGTTCATGATATTACTTTCTTACTTTTTAGAACATGTACTGTTCTTTGACTTTATTGACCAGTTTTTCATAACTGTTTTCATTTCCTTAAGTCTTGCTGTGTACTATGTTTAGTAGGTCTGTGTGCAGTAGATGTCAACCATCTGTAGAAGGTGCAGAAATTGCCCACGTGGTCCCTGCCGTGAAGAGTTGGCAACTGATTTGGGAGGCAGTTGTGTGCCTGAGTCCAAGGGCAAAGCACATCTTTCTGTTGATGCTCTTCTAAACAAGGAAACCTACTTGCATGGTTTTTAGTGTTAGAGATTTAGCTTTTACCCCCTAGCTTTGGGGAAATGCCTGAGGCAAAGAGAAGAGGCTCCAGGACTATTAAGTCTGGATAGAACCCCAACAATTGAGAAATCAACTATGGTCATAAGCTCTCTTTTTAGCTGCAGGCTAGGGCAGTAGTTAACAAAGCTGGAGTTGGCTTATAGCAAGAAGACCAGCTTAAGTGAAAACGGGCCTGAGGGAAAAAGTTTGAGGTTTTGGAGGATTAAATCCTGGATTCTAATGCTTTATCTTAAATGTGCCTGCAGGGAAAGGTGGTGAGATGGTTCATGCTGTTGATCTTTAGGTACTGTTTATACTGCTGACAACCTCCTACAATAGGTTAGAGAAGGAGCAAAGTTCCATCTGAGATCTAAACTTAGTCTGGTTATCTTGTGTTTCTGCCTTTCCAGTCTGATTAATGATTTACAAAGGTAAGTGGATTTGTGAATATTCTCCTGCTTGCATTAGACTAGTGATTTCAGAGAATACTGAGGAAGTTCTTGAAAGGAAGTACAGTGGATGCAGAAGAAATTGTAGCTCAGGCAAACAGTATTTCATTGTAAAAGACACTGAAACTCTTAGTAACTTCCAAAGTGATACTTAAGTCAGTATGCTGGACAACTCCCCTCTCTGCATGTATGTGTACGTGTACTTCCGCATAGTCCTCTTTAGCACAGGCCCTGATCATACCTTGTAGGTACCACAAGGGATGAAGTAATTATGTAGTGAGAAGACTCAGGGGCAATTCACAATAACTGAATATACTTTACTCTAGCTGTTTAGATAGTAAAAATTATTAAAAAGTCATTAAGGCAATCAGTAATTCTCACATCTGTTATGATGTACCAAATAATTTCTTCATGTTGGTGGTTTTGTGATTCAAGGTCAGAGGCCCAACTCCAGGGATTCCAGTATGTCAGGTCCAGTCACTAGCTCCTGATACGGCAGTTAAAGAGATGAGTAGTGGTAAAGGGCACAGAAAGATTTATTAACTGTGGCCAGGGGAAGAGGGAGAGTAGTATTTCAGTCTTTGGAGTACTAACATGAGCTTTAAGTTTAAATAGAGGAAAAATTCAGGTGGGGGCAGGGTGTTGTGTATGAGAGGAATGCATTGAAGAGTCCTGGTCATCATTATCTCAGTTCTGGTCCTGCAAGGTGGCTGGAAGAAGTTCTTATTGCTTGAGGGGCAATCTGAGTCCTGCTTGGGGAGTGAGGGATCTGTCTGTGGTTCTTGGATTCCAAGGTTACTGCAGTTAAGATAATGACTAGACTTTCAGGTACCCTTTTGGGGGTTCTGGAAGAGAACATCATAAGAGCTGACAGGAAAATGCCTTAATTATTGTTATCTTTGAGGCATCAGCTTTGAAGGAGGATGAAATAGATTAGGTACCACCAGTTTTTAGATAGCTAGTCCTTGCATGATTAAAATGCCTGCTTGCAGAAAACCCAAAAGTTTAAGATGAAGGAGATGTGATACACAGGCTTTTATCCTGCTTTTAGTAAACTTGTAGTATTAAGTAAGGAGTCATGGCTTTTTAGCAAAAGCAGTTTCTATGTACTTGTTAAGTTTAGCATATATGGTATTGACGAAATGAAAGAAGGGGATTTTAAACATTTATATTTAATCAGATTCAAAATGTAATACAGGGAACATTACAAAAATTACAGGAAATACAGAAACCCAAGAACCTGGACTGAGGGCTGGGGGCATGGCTAAGAGATAGCACCTGGTGCAAGCTCCTGAGTTTGATTTCCCAATATTATCAAAAAAAAGAGGAAGAAAAGGAACCTAACATCCAAAGTAAATGCATGCTAATACTTTGCTTAGTTACTTGCCTTGTCTTTGTTTTTAAAGCAGAACAGCACAGACAGCTAAGGCACTCATGACCCTTTTCTTATCTAATATCTCTAAGATAACCACTGTTTTGAATTCAGTTTGTGTTAGTGGGTTATATATTAAATATATATTTTTTACTACAGGTGTATCTATCCATAAGCAATATATTTTTGTTTTTAACGTCCTAAAATAAAAATAACTTATTGCAGTTATTCATGTGATTCTTTACATGGAAAACTAATAATTCTGTAATTTTAGTCAGCATATTAAAAACTACTTGTTGACCTAATAACATAAATTTAGTGAAAGATAGATGTTTTACATTATGAGCTAGTACATGTTCTTTACATGTCTGCATATTTATGTGATATGTGTATGTATAATACTGAAAAAGGATTTCTGTAAATCATAGTCTCTCATCCTACGTGTTAAATGCTCTTTATTTTCTAGCCTATGTATGTGGAAATGTTTGTCTCAGAATTAGTAAATTCTAAAAAAAATTGATCTGCAAATAAGCATAAGCTTTTCTGTTGTAATAAAGATGATTCAAATAATAAATAATGTTAAAATGGCATTCATGTACATAAGATTTGATGATACTCATTTTGGATTATCCATTTTAAAAATGAAGTATCAGTTAATGGAAGTATTTTAGAGAGTACATGTTGGTTAATTGAGAATTTTTTCTCTAGTCTTTTCTGACAGTGGTTTACCTGGAACCGAGGAGGGCTGTCACAGTGTCAGCGAAGGAAGTCTTGCTGACTTAGCTGCTGACCCCAGTCCTGTCATTAAGCCCTGTGGTCTTAATAAGACCTTTCTTCCTTCTGATCCTTGAGTTTTTCACCTGTTAAATGAGGGACCTAACTAGTTCATTTTGAAAGCACTTCATTCTGTGAAATTCAGAGTAACTTGACCTGGGCCTCAACTTGTTAGAATTATCTGGGAATACACCTGATGAAAAACAACAGAGCTTTGTATTAGAATTGCTGGCTTTCCAGTTACATTTGAGAAAGGTAAGCAACTCATATTCAGTTTATATGGTTCTTGGGCAAGAATGATTCCTCTACTATAAAACCATTTCAAAGTAATCTTTCCATCCCAGGATCTACTACTTTTTTTTTTCTTTGCATTGTCTCTCAGTGAGGGGTAGGGCTATAGGATGTGTACATGAATGTGCGTAAGTGCTGAGATGGTAAGGAAGTGTTCTTTATTCTGTTTCAGTTAAATGTCCTCAGATGCACACAAATCTGTAATCTCTGAAGAGCCCTATGGAACAGTTTCATGAGTCCCATACATTGCATTTAGAGGCTTTTGGGAATTTTTCTTTTTCTTTTTTTTTTTTTTTTTAATTTATCAGTAGTCACATGTTTGGATTGGGTACATATCACCTAAACTACTTATCTTCAAATCAGCACTTTTTGAGATGTTTTGTTTTGTTTATATGTTTCTTTATAAGAACCGGAACTTGCAATTGCAATTTGAGGAGGCCATCTCTTATCATTTTGCTTCTAACAAAATAGGCCAGAAAATGCTTTTGCCTGGGTCTTCAAACGGAGGCTAAGTTAAGGGCAGCTACCTGGTTTTTTCCAGCATTCCCATTTTCTTTAGGTTTGTAGATTATTTGGAAGCAGCTATAGGTTTATGGAAACCTAGAGCCTCCTTGTAACTCGTGTGGGGGTTGGGTGGGGGGTGTATTCATTAAAGAATGTGACTGTTCTTAAAGTAGGATTCTCCTACCCAATGGACTAATAAAGGTGGTCTTTTTCCTTAAGGACACCAAAATAGATATAACTCCCTGGGTGAGAATCCTTTGTACTCACATGACTGAGGCATAGGCTAGATTTCTTTTGACTTTACTCACCGTATGAGAACTCCGCGCTCACTCAGCAGTACTTACCCTTCCATTATAGAAGGAGACTGAAATTTTAGGCCTGATGCTGTGATTAATAATATCCTTACCTCAGGCAAGGAGCCAGAGCTAACCATTAATGTGTGACACTGTGCGGGTGTTTGTGGATGAAGACTTTATACTGTTTTCTCCTTTGCAAGTTATAAAGTTGGTTATCTCAAAATAATTAGAATTGATTGTTTTTTTTTTTTTCCTTTATTGTTGTGCTGGTTGGCGGTATGTTGTGGCATTTATGAAGGTTCTTACAATGTATCAAATATATTTTGAATTCACCCCCTCCACTGCTCTTCTTCATCCCCGCCTCCCCTGATTCCTGGAACAGTTTCAATAGGTGTCATTTTTGCATTTACATACATGTGCATACATTATTTGCACCACATTCATCCTCCTACCGCTTTCCCAGCCACCTCCTTCCTCCCACCGGTGCCACCCCCCCAACCTGTTCTACCCTCCAGTTCTCCGATTTTGTGAAAAAAATCCATAAAAGATAAAAAGAAAAACATGACATTTTTGCTAGTTTGAGATAAAGATAGCCACACTGGGAGATTCTTTGCATATATGTATTACAATCCCAGTTGGTTCTGGGGAAGAGTGAAGAGGACTAGTGAATTGATTGTTTTGAATTAAACAAAAATCTTTTCTTTTTATGTTAAAGCACTAGTAATGATCCTTCCTGTCTGCTTTCCCTCCCTCTCATCCTCTGCAGTGTGCCGAGATTTTGCTGTCCTGGAGGACCACACCCTGGCTCACAGCCTGCAGGAACAAGAAAGTGAGTAATGGCTCTTATTCATGGGCCTCCAGTATTTTTTTTTTTTTTTTAAAGTGGTAGCTTGAGGCTAGTTTCTTGGGTGAGGTAGGGAGAGAACTGTTACCAGGTTACACTGTGTTTCCATTCTGAAGGATTTGTCTAGGCAAACAGCACCCAGGAAAAGGATGAATTTTTGAAGTGTGTTTTGAAGTAAGACAGGCTGACAGGGATTGGAAGAATGCTAAGTGTTTAGGGGGAAAAGAGGTGCTTGAACTTTTCCCCTCCTTTGTTGTAAGAGGGAGCCATGGTTGTAAATGTATGTGGTATGCACTGGCATAAGAATTGTTCTTGTCCTGTGCATAGGGGCCTGAACGCCTTTTCCAGGGAGCAGTGGTGTCTATATCACATTATGGGCTTTTCTGAACGTGGATGCAATGTTCTGATGGGAAGTAACACTAAGTTGTAGACGTGTTTTTGAGTTCATGATTTCTGAATCATTAACTTGTGTGTTAATATACAAAAAATTGAAAGATGTAGCTAATAAGTAGAATGGCAACATGTACTAATAGAGTACTGGGCCTACTTTAGAATATTTGTAAAGAAGTCAGTCCTGGAATAGCCGACTATTATTTGCTGTGACCCAAAGCAAATTATTTATTCTTTTTGGTCCCTTTTATTTTTGTTCAGTGGAAAAGTGGAAATAGTAATTCCTCTGTTGTCTATTACCTAGTGTTCTTAGGAGCACAAAATGGAGTGGTATATGTGAAGTTCTCCTTAATGGCAAATCCCGTCTTAAATTTATTATGAGGCTCACCACCACCAGACCGGAGTGTTGTAACTGCAATCATTCTGTTGCAGTCGAGCATCATCTGGCATCAAATGTTCAGCGGAACCGTTTGGTTCAGCATGACCTCCAGGTGGCGAAGCAACTCCAAGAGGAAGATCTGAAAGCCCAGGCTCAGCTCCAGAAGCGCTACAAAGACCTGTGAGGATCTGGGCAGTAGGAGTGATGTGAGGAGTATCTGTGGAGCCAGCAAGTAGAGGGGGGGAAGGGGGACAACGCATCCTTTCCCTCTGATTCTTTTTACTTCTGCAGTAGCTATCTAATGAATTTCCTTTATTTGGAATTTTTCTTTGTAACACAATTAGGTTTGGGGACATGGAGCTCACCCTATGAACTCTATTAGCTCTATGATTTTGTGCCAATTTGTTAATTTCTTGAATTTATTTTTCATACCTTTAGATGAGGAAAATGATCATTCTTCATTTGTTAGGGGGATCCAGTGAAAATTTACGAGTTACATTGGGTTCCTTTACTATTTCCTAGCTGTGTTTGTTACTGTTACTTTCCTTGAGTCCCTTACTTTTCAAGAAACAGATGAGCTTCAGGAGAGCTCTGACTTGAATACTCAGTTCTCCTCACAACTTCAGCATCTGACGAAACTCTCTCAGTTTCTCCCTTAATAGATAGGTAAATGAAATTGATCATTTCTAAGGTCCTTCCTACACAATGACTTTTTACCCTTTTGCCATGTTTTAAAGCTGACAGGGTATATTTCTTCTCTGACATTGGCTCTTACAACCAAAACCCATAATGCTACCGTTACCATTGTTTAACCACATGGTCAATGTTGTTGAGGAAGAAAGGGTCACAAAGAAACTCCTTAATTTACTACAGTGTCATGTTCAAATAAAGCAGGAAAACCTATCTCTTTTGCTTCCTTTGAGGAAGGGTTTGTCTTTTTGATTATTTGTAATTTTGCAGATAAACACTTACTGACTTGCTATATAAACACTTATTGACCTGGCACCATGGAAGACAGTTGAGACCAGAGGTATGAACAAGATATAGCTATTGACTTTAAAGGCCTCAGGAAAACACCATGGGCAATTATATATCTAGAGATACTTGCATGAATCACAGAGAATTGATTACAAATTTCATGCCTATGAAATGAGAAAAGACTGAAAAAAGCTTCAGAAGACAGGTGATATGTTTAATCTGAACCTTGATGGTTAGTTGTGAATTTATAATTGGGGAAAACTATTCTAGCCAGAAGGATTAGTATGGATAAAGACAGGAGGTAAAGGACTTGGTATGTCCTGGTAGCTGGAAGAAGTTGAGTATTGCTGGAGTGGAGAATGTGATCAGGGGCATAAGTAGGAAGTGAGACCAGAAAGGTAGTGAAAAACTGGACCAAAAAATAAGTTGTGTTAAAGAATAGAGAACCATTGAAAGAGTTTTATATTACCATTTTGGGACCTTCTTTGGACCTACCTTGGGGATCATTTCCTCATACAAGTGAGAATAATTTTTACTCCTTCCGTTTTGTTGGAATAGAATAATTGTGTGTCAGTTCCTTCAAAGAAGTTTTAGTACTTCTCATCCCTAAATTCGTTTTAATTAAAAAAGACTGACATTAAACATGGAATATGCAATTAATTCTGAGACTCAGTGAATATTTTAAGTTCAGTTGGCAGGGGAAGAATGAGGGAGTGTATTTATTCATATAAATAAACATTAAAAATATAAATAAATACATTTACATAATATTTATGTGATTTATATATATGATATACAAAGGTATATAAATATATACATCACTATTGGAATTCCATCATCTTTTTAGGTAGCCAGTTCCAAGCATGTTTTTGTTCATGTTTCTTAGCTAAACAGCTTTGTATAAAAGGTGGATTCCCCAGAGTGATTACATTCCAGAATTTTAAGCTTCTGATTTTTCTTGAAACCTAAAACCAGGAAACTTCTGTACCTATGGGAAAATGGAGAATCAAACTCCATTTTCTGTGGAAACTGCTGTTCCAAAGGTGTTATTTTAAAGAATCTTTCTCCTACCGAAGTGCTTTCCCTGTTTCTCCCTCCTCCGAGACCTCAGAGGGCAAGAGGTAGATTTACTTATGTTTGCATCCTCAGTGTTGAGCATAGCGCCTTGCCTACTGTAGGTGTTATTTAACTTTTTGTTGAGTGAACAAATAGCAAAAATCAAACAGAGCAAGGAGAAAAAAGATAATAAGAAACTAGGGTGGCAGCAATATTATATTTGGTTTTCTTAGTGGCCAAAGTGTTGAGAAAACTGGCCTCTGCCAGAGAAGCTTCTGTTGGGAACTGAAGCTAAGGAATGTAAACTGTTTTTTTCCCCTTTTTTTGTTTGTTTAAGCATAAGTGTTTTAGTGTTTGTTGTTAAAATTGAAAAATAAATGCAAAGATAATCAAAACATTTATAAAATGATGTCAGGCATATTACCACTTCAAGTTGACCATAGAATTATTGACATTTTAGTGAACTTGCTCGAATACTTTCTCTGTGCACTCTGTTTGGATATTGGAGGATCCTGATCTCCTAGTCTGTACCTCCTGAGCAGAATCCCAAGGAAACATACTTGTTTTCCTGTGGAGTGACCCCAGCAGGGTGAAGTGGTATGGTAGAGAAAGAGAAGCTGGAGCTCTCCAGTGCAAGGTCTGTGGGTCTGGTTCTGGTTCTAACACACATGATCTTTGTGATTTTGGGGAAATGATAAAGTTTTCTGGGCCATGGTTTTCTCATCTGTAAAGTTTGACAGTATCGGTCCCTTTGTAGCATTATCATGAGGATTAAGTGAGTAAAAATATGTAATGACTCACAGTGACTACTAGACAATAAATTGTGTTTGTTATTTTTAGGCAGATTTATTCCCATTTTTAAAAATTCATATTATTTTCACTTTTTTTTTGTAGTGAACAACAAGACTGTGAAATTGCTCAGGAAATTCAGGAGAAGCTGGCTATTGAGGCAGAGAGACGGCGCATTCAGGAGAAGAAGGATGAGGTATAACTTAATGCACTCACCTCCTGTAGGATGGGTGTTCAACTCTCGAGCAAACACCTTTGTATTCACTGGCTCAGTAGAGCCTGCTGGATGGGTAGCAGGTTTTTTCTCTTTTAGAGTTCAGTTGTCCAAGCATTGCTTTCCATGGACCACTGTTTATTGCCTCTTGATCAGTTGCCTTCCTGATAAAGTCTTGAGAGATGATAGTGGATAATTTGACAGAAGGTGTGAATTTATGTTGTAGGAATGACTGCTGAAAAAACTTAATCACAAACTTGGTGACTTTAACGACAGAAGTGTGTTCTTTCACAGTTCTGGAGAATGTAAGTTTAAAATGAAGGTGTTGGCAGGGATGTATTTCCTTTTGAGAAGGATCATTCCTTGTCTCTTCCTAGCTCTGGTGCCTTCTGGCAGTCTTGGTTTATAACTGCGTCACTTCAGTCTCTGCCTCCATCATCATATGACCTTCTTCTGTGTGTATCTTTGTGTCCTCTCATCTTCTTAAATGGACATTAATCATTGTTTGAGAACGCACTCTAATCCAGCGTGACCTTAACTTAACTAAATACATCCATAAAGACCCTATTTCCAAATAAGGTCACTATTTAACTGACTAAAGTTTTCTGTGCCTGGATTATTCTTGCAACTTTAGAGAGAGCAGATCTTGAGTGGAATGCAAACCAGAGTCAGGAATTAGTCTTTGTGGGGTACCGTCAGCTAGCATTATCATCACACTCTTTTTCTTGTTAGTTTTACTTTTCTATAATCTTAAGTAACTACTCTGTTTGATTCTCTATGTATTTTTAGGTTTTATTGTTTTTGAAGCTGAAAATGATTGAAATTAGCAACAGTGCTTGATTTGTGAGATTATTTGTTTTTGTGTTAACTATAGTGCTACATACAGCATTTCAGTTTTTATTGGTTTTGCATCTACCTTCTTTCATACCTATTATACTGTTCTTAGCCACTGTCTTGACTTATAATAGAGAAGAAAATGAGTTGTCATTTTTAATAGTAGAGTGATTGTATGCTTTGTTATATACCCAGAAGTACTTTGAGTATAAAAGGGGGTGCTAGTGATAATTACCTAAACTGGGACAGTACTGGGCTAACTGGCATATACAATTACCCTCTGCAATTCGTATGATCAGGGTCATGAGTGGACTAGCCAATATACACTGCTATTCCTGCTGAATTGCCCTTTTTCTGCCAAGATATCTTATTCAGTGATAGATACGTGAGAGGCACCTGTTTGTGAGTGTATTTAGTTGCTCAAGAAACAAACTGTGATTATGTAGTAATTAGAACTGCAAGTAAGAATTAAGGATTATTTTTGATACTTCTTATTGGCAACGCAGCAGGCTTCTCTTTTACTGCAGGATATGTTGCTTCTCTATGGTAATGTTTGCTTTGAGGTGAAGCTAGAGACTGAAAGAAGTGATTATATTTTATAGACAAGAAAGCTTCTATCCTAAAAATAACAGAGGATTGAGTTAACTTCTTATAAATACTACTGGTGTCCTGTGATTTTTTTTTTTCCCCTACTATTCAGGGAAAAAACAGGATTGAAAGAGATACCAAAACACTGTTAGACATTTAGAATCTAAATAGTGATTATAATAAGTAATTTCACTGTAACACTACATAAAGTAAGCAGCGTAGTAATTAACTACAGTTTTTAAATGAAGAAGTCTTTAAAGAAGTGACTAGTCTGTTGTACCACTGGTGTACTGTGGTACAATATGAAGCATGTGCGCTTTGGAGTTGGGTTGACTTGGGTGTAAATTTTAGCCCTTTAACTTTTATCTGCGTGAATTTTAGCATCTCATTGAAGAATGTAAAACCTCAGGTTCTGAAACAAGCAAGTCATTTTGATTACACATACCCTAAAAGGCGAGGTTTCAGTGAAACCTCTGGAGCATATAAAATTAATAATGACTCTTTCCCTTTTACTTTCTGGCCAGGTGATTTTTCCATAATTCTAACCTTTATAACAACCTTGATTTCTTTTACTGAGGTACATGTGCAAAATTAGGGGAAAACTAAACAGGTTTAAATGTGTCTTTAGGGGTGTGATTTTGGGAGCCTTCACTGAAATGTTCCCTCTTCCCAGTGGAGTGGAAGAATAGAGTTATGGAGGTTTAATAACTAGGTGAGATTAGCCCTTAAAAACTTCATTCAAATTTGTTGATCTTTCAACTCATGTCTTAGATTAGAAGAAAATATCATGCCAAGATGTTCTTTTCTCATAGAAAATGTTTTACTAGCCTCAACTAGTGTGTTATTAATAAATATACAAAATTTGCCTTAATAAACTTTGTCATCGAAGGCTGAAATTGGGTGCCTTAAAGGCAGAGGAGATAAGGCAGCAGTAACTTATTTTTCTGGATAGTATTTGGAAATGGCATTGCTTGTTTTTTACTCCTCAACTGTCCTAGTTCTTTTTCTTTCTCTTTTGTTTGTTTGTTTCTTAACCCCCTCCTTGCTCCTCCTCTTCCTTGTAGAGCTGCTTAGTTAATTAGTTATTCAGCAATACAGGTTGTGAAAAGTCCTCTTTAGATTTTCACCTAAATCTTAAGAGACTTTTGGGGTTAGCTCTCTTGAGTAGTTTATAACCCCCCCAAAACAACCAGATGTAAAGATAAAGGCCCCTTTCCTCTGGGCCAGAGATTTTTTATAAAGGACATTGTTTTTGAAAATAATGAAGTTATAGCTTTGTGTGGGTCAGAGAGCATTTCCAGCTTTGTCATGGTGTCATTTTATTGTGCTTGTTAATAGAATGTAAGGAAAGTAACATTACTATGCAGGGAGAAGAAAAGTAGGGAGAAAAGCTTTTTGTTGTTGTTGTTCTTTTACTATAATTATGGACATCTCCCCTCCCTTTCCTTTTTTTCTTTTCTTCCCCCTTCTGTCTTGTCTTTCTCCCTCCCCTCCCCCCCACATCCCTCCCTTTATTTCTGGAATCTCTCACTATAGTTGTTGAGTTTCTCTCCAGGTGCTCTGTGAAGGGACTTGTAGCCTTTGGGTGTACTTTATATGAATTTGTGGTTAATACAAGTAGATTAATTCCACTGAAATCCTTCTCTTACCCACAAGCATAAGTATTTATCAGTGTCTTTAAAATAAGTCAAAGGAATGCATTTAGTTTAACTAATTCTTAAGTGAAACTGTGGCTGTGTGTATTTGTATATGTGTGTGTGTGTATATTTGTATGTTTAAATCTTGTTCCAAATATATGTGAATGTGGAATTATTTTAGGAAAAAACTTTCTTTTTTGCTTAAGTAAACATTAGAATGGCCAAACGTCTAATGAAAGATGGTGGTGCAGGGTTCAACAGTCTCAAACCATCTATAATATAAACTGTTCAAGGGATAAACTTAGTAACCAGTTTACATTAAAAACGGATCTAGTATGAACCATAGTGCTCCTAGGTAATTAGAATTTCATGCTCTGAAAGAATATTTATATAAGTAATATATAAGTAATATTTAGAGACTAACTCAAATAGCAATATCTTTCAGTCATTAAAATTTTACTGTGCTTTAGCACTTTATGAACAGAAGGGCAAGGAGACTTCTAATTGGAAAAATTGTCCTATCCCTGTCCTAGTTATGTTGATGCCTTTATATCCAGAGTTGATGTTAAGGGGTTTTCCTGGTTCTGTAGGATCACCTTTTTGAAATTATAGCTGTTTTCAGATCACTACTGAGTTAGATGTTAATATAACATGATAATTATTGGTAATGCTAGTTAATGAAGTAGTTTAGCAATCTAATGGGGTAGCTTTCTTTATGTTCTTTTTTGACACTCATTTGATAATTTCATTTTTAGCCTTCCCACTCTTTTGTGGTTTATTTTATTTTGGGGGTCTCTATTGGGGTTTAAACTCAGAGCCTTCAGCTAGGTCTTGTATTACACTCTTCATTTTACTTTTAACACTTAATAGTTAAGGACATGTGGGATATTGACCATATATCTTGATTCCCTACTGAGAATCCCTACAGCATGATATTTTCTTTATGACTTTCCTCCAGCATTCTAGAGATCCTTATCTTGCCCTTTCTTATGGTTAGTTTTACATTTTCCAGAGTTGAGTGAGCTTGGATAATAGAAGAGGGGGAGGTAAGATACAATGGTAAATTCTCATTCCAGTCACTGTACTTACAGGAAGTCTTTTTATGGGACAGGGTTACATAAGAATATCTGCCTAAAATCTGCCTGATGCATTAAAGAAAATTGAATTTGACTTTTTTGTTTTATTTATTTATTTTGAACTCAGGCCTTGGCACTTGCAAAGCTCTCACTTTTTGCCCAGACCAGCTTTGGTATTTTACTCTTCTGTCATTGCTGAGATGACAGTTGTATGCTACCATGTCTGGCTATTGTTTGAGATGGGGCTTCCCAAACTTTTTGCCCAGGTATGATCCTACTGATCTCTGCCTTCCAAGAATCTAGGATTTTAGACGTGAGCCACCCACATCTGGCAGGAGTTCTTGAATACTTGTTTTTCTGTTATGTTATATAAAACATTAATTCCACAAGGTTTATATTTTTTATGTAAAAAAAGAGCTATCATAAAATAAATTTGGGAAATCCTGGGCTACATGAAGATAATGGGTTTCTTTTATCCTAGTTTTAAAGTATGATAATTTGTATTTTAAAGAGTTGGTTATATTATATATTTTCTATTGAATGGTTTTATTTTAGTTTTTTGGAGAACTTTTTGAGATCTGTGCTCTCTAGAACAGAGCTGGGAAATGCTGTTCTAGACTACTGTTCTGCAGGAGAGAATCTGAATATCAAGGAGGTGATCAAGCTGGTTAGCTCCATCCATGTGGTACTAGTAATTGTTGCCAGCTTTATCTTGTTTCAGAAGAAATCACTCTAGATTGAAAATACCTAGCTACCTCATTACACTGTATTTTTGGAAAGCGGGGAGAACTGAGAAAATCTTACCTATGTAATAATTTTCTGTTGAATTTTTACCCTTCTGCAAGCCTAGCAGACCATTTCTTCTCACCCACATAGACACTTACTCAAAAAAGAACTTAGCTTAGAAAAGCAGAAACGTTTGGGTGCTAATGTATATGACATGCTGTGGTTATTATTTTTCTACTTAATTAAGAGTACTTTCTTGACTAGCTAATGCATTTATAAAGAAAGCATGATTCTTGTTTTTCTCCTAATTCTTCTTGCTGGAAGAGTGGCTTATTGATGTGTTTTCATTAGGGTTGAATTCAGTATCAGGAAAGCACTTATAAGGTCCCAGGAATGTAGTTTAATAATTTTGCTGACAATTGGACCTGATAATTTTCTTTGGTATTTTTTTCCTTAGGGAAAATTTTGTTTATTGTGAAGCACACTACTTAGGAAAAATGTAGTGTTGGGTGCTTAGGAAACATGGCAACACAGGAAGGTATTTACATTCCTTTTCATTTACGTGGTCAACAGTTCAGGAATTTGGGAAATTTTATGTAAGAAGTAATAATAGTTTTCGGAGAACAAACTATCTCTCCTCATCTCTCTTCCTAACTGATTGAAAGGAACTATTTAAAACATCAGAGATAGTAAATTGGACACAGTCATTGGTACCTTTTAAGATTCTACAGCTTTGTTAAGAAGACACATTAAGGAGTAAAAAGAATGTTTTTAAGATTGAATAGTTCAAATCTTTCATTGTAGGGCTAGGAATGTGCCTTAAATGTTAAAACACCTGCCTAACAAGTATGAGGCCCTGAGTTTACATCCTGGAGAACTGCCAACAATAACAACAACAAAATGTTTTACTGTATAAATTAAAAATTGAAACCCAAGGAAATTCACATTAGTCATTCCTAGTCTTTTCCTAATGTCTCCTTTAAAACATCTCTGGCTTGAACTGAAATGGTAAAAAGAACCATCGTAACTTTTAGAGTTAAGGGAGAGTTTTTCCACCAAAAGTATTAGAAATTAATAGTAATATACATGAAAAGTACACTTGCATTGAGTAGGATTTGTATCCATTACCTCTCATTATTACTTGCAGCATTTCGCAAGTGCTCATTCAAGGGTCAGACATTGAGTATCATGAGCTTTAAAATAGATTATCAAAAAATAAATCAAATATATGTATATAATGTATATAACTCAGTTGAAAGCAATATCTTAATAATATATTTAAAGTTTGAATTGAAGCATTTATTTAATATAGTTAGATTTTTAAGACTATGTTGATGAATAATAAAAGAGACTATGTATATAAATAGTCATTTTTACTTTTTCTAGCCTTAGCATCTATCTTGTTTTTGCAAACATTTGAACAAAGTTCTTACTCACTCTGTTAAATTCTGTTTTGAAAGTTGCTTTGCAATCTCTCTATATTTTCTTGGAAAGATTCAGATTTTTTTTGGCAGTACTGGGTTGAAATCATAGCCTTATCCTTGTTTGTCACTTAAGCTTGTTTTTCAGTAGGGTATTGGGCTTTCTCCTGGGACTGCTGTGGACTGTTGTTCTCTTATCTTTGTCTTCTAAGTAGCTATGATTACAGACATGCCCCACCATTCGTGTCTTGGTTTTTGAGATAGGCACTAGCTAACCTTTTGAACTTCAGTCTTCTTATCTCTATCTCCTGAGTACCTGCAGGAAATTTCAGTAGTAATTTTTGCTTCAAGTGTACATCATTAGTATCTAAGCATTTATTGTCTTTATTATCAAGAACTATCTCAACCTATTATTTTATTACCATTTGCACCAATGAGCATTAATGTCACATATGCATGAACTTTTATTAATCTGATGAGAGGTATGGAATTGCGCTCAAGAAAATCTGCATGAGCTCCAAAGTTTATATGCTGTTTTGTGGGGCTTTTGTAGAAACAGTCTTCACATTCAGAGCACTGTCACTCTGTAGCTCAAAACCTTTAGTAACTCCTCTTCTCCCATATCATAGACACCAGACTTCCTAAGATTGAATATAAGGACTGCCTGTGATCCAGCCATAGACTGTTCTCTAGCTATCCCTCACATCTTATGTTCTAATTAGACTGTTGGCCATTCCATAGATAGATGCCTCTTAAAAACCTTAACATCTTTGCTAATGTTCTCTCTCTCTCCCTTTCTCCCTCCTCTCCCACCCCACTCTCTTTTGCCTATTGAAATTCAGTTGTTAAAAGCCTTGCAAAGTATTGTACTAATTTCTTTAAGCAGAAATAATTTTCCTTCTTTTTGTACTCCATAGACACCCAACCCTTTTCTGAGATTTTATTATGATTATTTGTACACATCTTTGTTTTTATACAGGGATGGTAGTCTTTTGGGAAGTAGAGCTAGAATGTTATTCATCACTCCCTCACCATGCTTTACACAGAGCAACTGCTAAAAACTTGCCTGGGAAAGAGATAGGTGGGAGACATGAGGGAGATAGTTTTCTCTTTTTCAGTTAACACAGTGGTGCTCTCATGCAAAATGAAATCAGAATCATCCACAGAATTTTTCTTAAAAGTTTAAAGTTCAATTATAAGTGCAGTTCATAAAGTTTTATGGATTGCTGTAGCCTTCCCTATCCAGACTCACTGAATCATCAGCTTGGAAGAAGAGCCCACAAATAGTACTTAAAAAATTCTCTTGTATGACCAGCTTTCGGCAGCACTAGGTTTGAATGCCTGAGTTGGATTTGAATTTGAATTGAAAAAGAAAAAGCCTGTATCACTCATCTAGATCACATGCCACCCCATTGAGTAATCATCTATGGCTTTTGAAAGTCTGGAAAGCTATGGGCAGAATGTGGCACTCCCTATATCAATTTTGCTCATTCTCTGTAAACATTTATTTCCATACCCTTTTATCTTCATAGGATATAGCTCGCCTTTTGCAAGAAAAGGAGTTGCAGGAAGAGAAAAAGCGAAAGAAACACATTCCAGAGTTCTCTGGCGCCAATGCTTATGGAGATAATTACTATTATGAAGATGGAGGTAACAATGTCTACATCATGACCTACTTTGTCCCTAGACTTAACTGTAAGACACCCCTTTAATTGTTGTCCATAAAGTGACCTTACAGACATGGAGACATTTCTCTTATACTAGGCCCTGAGTACATTTTAAATTGTGTTAGGATTCTATTTGATTTTAATGAGTTTATCTTTCCTTAGTTCTGTCAGCTATTTTTATGACCATTCAAACTTTGTACCACTTGGTGGCATTCTTTTGTGCTGCATCCACTTGGAGTGCTATATTACCTTCTAAGCACAAAAGGCAGGGTGTGGAAAATGGCATATGAGTCTCTGGACTTAACCTTTCTCAAGAAAGTCTGAACAGTAGTTGATTGAACTGGCAAAGTGGTATGAATGAAAAAGGTACAGCATGCATCAGTTAATTGGGTAACAAAGCTTTTTTCCATATTTTCTTATCTTTCAAATTTGTCCAATGGTTTAGCCTTCTTACTGCAAGCAATATTAAACTTTGAGATTTGCTGTTCACTTTTTGGTTTTGATGCTTTCTTTGCTGTTTGATTACCACGTAGAGAAATTTCCAGCGTAATGAAGTCCCTCTTTTAGAGTCTCACTTTTCTGGTGCTCACTTTTGCAGTCTGGTGATGGTGATGGTACGGTGGTGGTGATTCTTAATCTTAAAAATGTGTTGGGAAATGAATATCCATAATCATAGTCCAGTGCTTTCCAGATATTTGTCAGAGGAAATATGTTTCCTGTAGTTTCATGTGTTCGTTTATTGAAATTCAGCTTGGATACCATATGTTTAGGATGACCAGTGAACAAAACCTAAAGATAAAACTTCTAGAGAGTAAATATTTTAAGACCTGTGGTCCCAAAGGGCCTTGCAAATCAGTTATCAACTAATTCCACTACAGAAGTTACTCATTTTCTTTAATGAGTAGATTGAAAGTAATGCATATGTAGGTGGTTGTATTATTACAGTTTAAAGGTGAATTTACCATAGTTAGAGCTCAGCTCTATCACCTGTGTAGTAAACAGGTTGATGACTTACTGCTTGATGCTTTCTTCCTCCATATGCGAAATGCTCAACACTTTCTTGATAACCATCATTCTGATACTAGTTTTTCTGATGAAGTTATATATTAATACATTTAAAAAGAAAAAAAAGTTATTACCATATTTTGCTACACTGTGGAACAGAGGGTAAGGAGTTACTCTTCAGCTTCAATTAAAATCTTAGAAATAAAGCCTTTTTTTAAAGTTTTAATTCTCTGGAGGCATGTTCACTGTAAATAAAAGCAACTATTTTAAACTTTCAAGTCTATAAAAACATCAGGTGGTAAGTAATATTGTACACTAAAATATTAATTTTTAACCTGCCCGTGTTAAAACCTATTCTAACTTGAGTCTCAAGTCTGTTTGTTTTGAACTAGAGTACTATGATCCTGATTCATATCTCTAGAGCAGGAGACTATATTAAGAATTTAGTGGTTTTTCAGGAACACCAGAACGTTTACAGAAATTCTGTATTTATTTTGACTGCCTTTGTAAACTTGTGGTGAGTGACACATGTGCTTGTTTGGAGAGATTGAGAGTGTTGAGGAATAGCATGTGGTGACCTGAGCATGTGTGTACAGATGCTCAACATTTTGGAGATAATATTTCTGAACATATGATCCTCATTTAAATGCTTCTGAGTTAGACCAAGTTGATTTCCACAGAGACCACATTATAAGGAACTTTTCATATTTACAAAGCCATTCTCATGTTCTTCACATTGGTCCTTTCCCAACACATCTGGCATATTTTTTAATTGTACATCTCTGTCTTTGTGTATAGCTTGATTTTTGCCTAAGTTATTTAATAATTACAGTATATCATTACAGAAATGGTTTTTCTTTCAGCTTTTATATGAACTTTAATAAATCTTAAAAATGATTGCTTATATATTTTCTGTAAATGCAAAATTACCCAAAGCAATTTCAAATGTATATCAGTTGTGAAATGGTTTGTATTACTCATTTGCGAATCCATGTTTTTCTTTCAAAGCCAGTCACCCTGTGCTATGGTCATGCTTTTGATTTTGTTTTTAATGCCATAGTTTTTTAAGTCATGTAAGACTATGGTTCAAGTTCTGTCAATTCCTTAGAACAATTGTAATTTTAGCAAAGTTATCTATAATAATTTCTGAGTCTTTTTTCTCATCTGGGAAATAGAATTCTAAAAGTACAACCTTCATGTAAATGTTGAAAAAAATCAAATAATGTAATTTTGATGAAGGAGTTGTAAACTTGAAAGTATTTTTATGCATATATCAATGCTATGTATGAATAATATTTTATGTAAACAAAAACCATCTGATCTTGAATGACAAACATGGAGGCGTACACATAAAATACAGTTATATGTATACCTGTATATATGTGTATTGACAATGAAAGAGTTAATTATATTTGCCAAATAACTAGGTCTCAAGAAACATCCTCAACTTCTGTTTGAAAGGATTCAAACAGATTCCCCACCACTCTTCCCAGCCCCCCAGATTTAACAATGCCACAGTAGGTGAACTACAAAATCTAATTTTTCTATTTAACTCTGAAAATGTAGTGATAGCACTGCAATAATTCTTTCAATTCAGTTTCCTAAAGTAGAACTACCATTGGTTAACTGTTAGGAGGAATTAAAAAAAAAATCATAGCCTCAAAAATTCATGTTGAAACAAAATCCTTTCTGTTTGTCATGGGCTTAAAGGTGGACTTCATTCATGTACCTCTCTGAGCAGGCACATTGGTATGAACACTAAATCATTGTCCCCTGAATGTGGTCATCACTCAGTGGCTGGTCAGTATGACATTAATTCACCACAGTAGCAGTGAATGCTTTCTCACTTACAAAGATAGACTTAAAAAAGTTTACATGAAAGAGCAGATAAGCAGATGCTATTTTTAAATCACAGATTAATTTCTATTTCAATTTTGATTTCATGTCAAGAGTAAATTTAATAATGAGTTAAAGAGATAAATACTTTTACAGATTGTTTAGAAGACAGATTTTAGTCTAGACTTATCTTTGAAGCAGATTTCTTTTTCCTATGAAGATGTAAAAGCAAAGTTTGAGGTTTGTGAGTGGAAGCTGTGGCATCATTGTTGTATTTAGCACATGTCTTCCTTTTGCTCTATTTCTTACATCAGATTATCGATATTAAAGCAGTGAACCAAACAATAAAAAAACCCTACAAACTAAGAAAATGTATAATCTTATTTTCCCCCCGTACATCTTACAAAATTGTGGTAACTGTTTCAAATGAAATTCAGCAAATAGATAATTACAGCAGGGAAGTATCTTAGCAGCTTTCATGGAATTAGAATTTCTTTTTATTATTCCCAAAATGTAGTAAAAGTTTTAGAAAATGTTTCTTTTTGTTATGGAGGTACTGGAGTTTGAACTCAAGGCTTCCTGCCTTCTAGGCAGGCACTCTACCACTTGAACCACATCTCCAGTCCTCAAAAATACTAAAATCAACATGTTCTTGCAAAGTGCATGTTAATTTGCTTCCTTTGTTTTCATAGTATGGTTATGGCTAAATGGTACCTGACAAAAGCACCCATGTGTGTGCTGTTTTGAAGTTTGTATTAAACTTGGGGACACATATATTTAGTGCATACTTTATTCTGTACAAGAAAGACAATAATCATGTTTTTAAAAATATATTTTGGAAGTGACTCCTTTTTATGTATTCCCTTATGGCATTTCTTTTTAAAAATGTTTTTCCTCTGCCCAGTTTCCACTAAAATTAGGAAGAAAATCATCTAGAGATAACAGGGTCATTTACTCACTTAAAATTCTCCTCTATCCTCTTCCACACTGGACTGTGATATAGGGCAGTTCTCTGAAGTGATTGGGAATGTTTGCTTTGGCCACGTAAGGGGCAAGGCAGGGGAATCCTAAGATCTCTGAGCCATTCCTCTGAACAAAGTAGAACCTAGCAACATTCTGATTAAAATTTTTTTTGGCACTTCTAATAAGAATATTTGAAAATCTGTGAAATCAGAAAGCTAATTTTCTTATATTTTATTAGACTCCTGAACCCCTACTTGTTTTTGAAACTAGTTCTAAATTGATTTTATAAAGTAGAATTTAATGTTTAATGGCTATAATTTTTGTTATTGGCAAATATGAAAATACTCTATTAACTCTACCTAATCATGATCAAGTTCTTCTTTCAGATTTAACTTACTTCACTTAGTTTTAGTTTTCACCTTTTTGGCTATGTATCCAGAAAATTTTATGTATGCATGAACCATTCCAGGAAATGTTCATCCTCTCTTCTTAGTTTATGAAGTTGAAAAAGCAGCTTTCTCCATTTAAAAGCCAAGTTCAGCTTGAGCCCTGACTTCCACTGTGTCATGAGTTCATTTTCTCATTGAGTTAATCTGCATTTTTATTTCTTACATCCCTCTACGTCCACTCAGACCAGCCAAGGTCAAGGAGGGCCAGGGAACTGGGTTCTGAATACTCAAGGTCTCATAAACTCCAAAGTGAGAGAAAGACACTGAAGCAGAGGAAGGAGAAATCAAGACACCCACTGGAGAACTTGGAAGAGCTGGAAGAATGTGGTTCATCAGAGAGATCCCTGTCATCTTCAAGCTGGGACAAAGTGAGAGATGATCCCCAGATTACCACTGAGCATGAAAGGAAGCAGCTTGGTCAGGAGAGACTACGGAGACCTCCACTTCCCAAGGTTGATGGTGAGGTGTTTCTGAGCACTGAAAGTGGTGACTGGGAGTCTAACAATATCCATCGAGTGCCGAATTGGGGAAAACAGTCCCGACACCAAGATCGACTTTCACCCAAGTCCTCAAAGAAAGCAGGGTTTCACTGTAAGGAACCTGTATATGGGAGGGGCCCTGGGAAAGGTGAGCACAGAGAAAGGAGACACAGGCCCAGGATTCCTCCCTGCTCAGAGAGTGAAGAAGTGTACCACAACCATGACACAGGTAATAAGGTCAGCCTTGTTGGAAGTCCTGATCTCATGTATGTAAATTAATAAGCATCTTAAACAAATCTTTTATTTTTCCTCTCTGGTTTGTGCTTGTGTCCTTGAAACAAATCCTGGAGCCAAATACTATACAAGGTATTTATCTGATCTTGAGTCTATAGAAGCAAGTATTTGTACTTTTTGCCTTCTGTGAGAATACATTGATTGCTTAGGTAGAGGTGCCCATCCAAGATACACTACTTCGTTTGCCTAGACTATACATTAGAGATTCTGATGCCCAAAGTTCCTGAATTTCTGGTTTTACTTCAGTGAACCCAGAAGTTCTAGTGACTCGAGTTTGAACTCAGGGCTTCCTGCTTTGGAAGCAGGTGTTGTACCACTTGAGTCATGCCTCCAGTTCATTGAGCTATGGTTATGGTTATTTTGGAGACGGGGCCTGAGGAACTGTTTGCCTGGGCTGGCCTCAAAACATGATCCTTCCGATCTCAGCTTCTTGAGTAGCTAGAATTAAAGGCATGAGCCACTGACTAGATCTGGTGATAATGACTTAATTGTATTTGCCTGCCAAGAGGGCTAGAAACACTTGATTTTCTAGATTTCATCTTTCTCACTTATAAAATGAGGAATTGCATAGGCAGTATTTAAGACAGTGTTTTGAGATTCTGGGCTTTTCCATGTGGCTGTAACACTCATAGCACCACACAATTTTTAGAGTGATGTTCTAATAGGCATATTTATCATCTAGTTTCATTTAACTCATTGATGCTTGTAGAGATGAAGGGTTATTGGGAAAGGAGTATGAGGGAGCAGCCTGTTGTGGCTCGGTTGCTCTCTACTTGTGATTGGGAAACTGGTTTTTAGGTTGCACATTCAGGTTGATACAGTTGCTTTTCCCATCCCATTTATCTCTTACCAAAGGATGTGGTTGTAAAGAAAATTAAAGTTCAGTTTAGTAAGCCATATTGAAGTGTATATTGCAAATATTCTTGCTTTGGGGTTTACACTTAGCCCTGAACTTCAGAAGGTTAATAGTCAAGCCAAAAAGATGGATATGTAAGTGGACACTTCTAAATTAGATATGTCATGTCAGGGAGACATGAAGAAAGAACTTTGTGAGAATAGTAAAGAGAATAATGTAATCTCTCTGGAGTAAGTTTATGAGGAAGTGCACTGCATACAAATTTAGAAAGACTTTAGTTTTAAAGGTAGGGCGTATGGGGGAAGAAATGGCAATCAAATTGATAGTTACATTTCTGATTCTGTGAAATTGACTTTAAATGTGCTCTGAGGGATGGTTAGCCTTTAGGACTTTTAGTTATGCTCCATGGTGTTTTAAACAGATTTAGAAGGCATGAAACTAAACTCTGACTCACAGGCTACAGTACTGGAGTTGTAGACAGATGTTTATTTTGCTAACACAAGGGTTTAAAAAATAATGTGGCTAGGCAAGCATTAAAATGGCTACAGTGTTAATTGATTAGTGGTTGTTCAGTATATACTCAGCTTGGCATAAATTTTACCTTTCCAGGCCTTGTTGTCATTTGATTTTGCAACCCTTGTAGAATAGTCAGTCATGATTACATTAAAATATGATAACTGTGTATTGGTATCTGTAATTACTGTTGAAAACAGTTCTTAAAGTTGTTAGCACAAGTCGAAGTTTTATTTAACTTAAGAATGAAGAAACTGTTAGGATGGCAAAGCTAATTCCAAGAGCATTTATAGAATCAGTTGAAAAAGCAATGTAGAATAAAATTGATAAATGGTTAATTAACTTTCTGTGAGATAATGAAGCCATACCTGACCTTTGAGAGAAACTTCTCTGTTGGACAATATGTCTATAATAGCTTACTGGTTTTTTGCAAGTTAACTTCTAACCTCTCAGGACCATTAAATATGTATTTTCTCCTATGTATTGTTGGCCAAATATAGTATGTCGTTCCCTGCATGTCAGATGGCTTCATTCAGACATTCTTGCATGATACCAGGTAATCTGTCAGTCATCGTTTAATTTTATTTCATGCTTGGAATAAATTTATCTTGAACACTAGTACTTTTAACAATTTATCTTATTTTGTCAGACTTTATCCAAAAAAGAATGTGCATTCATTTGGGGAGGTTCTTGTGTTCTCATACTGGAGGATGATGAACAGAAAAGACAAAGAATAATTAGATTGAGGAGTTTATACATATATATGGAATTGATGGAAATACGGCTCACCTGATTGAAAGTAGTTTTCAGATTCTGTTTAGGCTGCCAAGATGACACCAGTTATTCTGTTCATTCTTTTAATTCACTATGCTTTAAGCAATTTTTAAAACATCTCTGTGTAATGATAGCTTTTCTACTGCACTGTCTGTGGTTCTTTGCATGGACTTACAAGAACTCCCACCACCTCAGGTACAGACGACACTACAATGATTAGGCATTCTTGCCAGCCCAGAAATTCAGTATCCCGGGCTCTGAGATTTTGTACTTAGTGAGTATTACAAATTCCAGTGATATAGCAAGGATTTAAGTTGCGTCCCTCTCTAAATATTTGAACCTGAGATAATATTACCTCAGATTCTAACTTTTATTTATGAAATTGTCATTCTCTTTTTAATTGTTAATGGTTATAGCCTTTATTTTTGATGGTACTGGACTTGAACTCAGGGTTTGGTGCTTGTTAGGTAGGTACTCTACCACCGGAGCCATGTCTAGACGTTTTGACTCAGATTATTTTGGAGATAGGGTCTCAGTTTTTGCCTTGGCCAGTCTAGACTCCAGTTCTCCTTTTTTAGGCTTCCCTCCATAGTTGGGATAGCTAGGAGAAAAGGCGCCATGCCTAGCTTTTTTTTTTTTTTTAACCTGTTGAGATGAGGGTCTTACAAATTTTTTCCAAGGCTGTCTTGGAACAGTGATTCTCCCAACTTCAGCCTCCCACTTGCTACCACACCCAGTTTTTTTTTCCAGTTGACATGGGGTCTTGTGAACTTGTTTTTGCTTGGGCTGGCCTAGAACTGTGATCCTTCTGATCTCAGCTTCTTATAACCTTGGGGTGACAGGAATGTGTCACCGTGCCCAGCTGTTGGTTGAGATGGGATCTCAGGAGCTTTTTTGCCCTGGCTGGCTTTGAAACGTGATACTTCCAAATCTTAGCCTCCCAAATAGATAGGATTATAGTCTTGAGCCACTGGTGCCCAATTAGTGATTTCAGTCTTATCACCCTTTCAGGCTAATTAAGGATGTTCATTTGACTACACCTTTAATAGAAATAAAATGGTATGTGTTTGATAGAAATTAAAACAAAGCATTTTCTTGGTTAATTCTGTTGTGTAGAGTATAAGAAAGTTTAGTAAGTTAAAATCTGAGCACATCCTACTCTTTCATTTCACTAGATAGCAAAGATGGAGAGGTAGGCATATTCTGTCATCCTTAGTGAGGTTTTGTGCTGCTCATTGAAATATCTTTTTCTGTAGATGGTAGTATGGTATAATAGCATGTATATCTACTGACCTTGCCCAATGCTAAGTTCCTTATTTAATTTCAATTGTTTTTCCTGAAATCTGCCTTTCTAGATTGTATGACTGAGCTATCATAACTCAGGGATATGTGTATTCTATTGATATATGGTGTTCTCTTGCTGTTCCAAACCAGTCAGAAATCTAGGGTAAAACTACATTGCCCAGCACATAAGATTTAGTAGCTCTGCAGATGATTTGAAGTGATTTGTGTAATCAGATCCTAATAAGTCTTGAAGCTAAGAAAGCTAGGTTTCCTTGCCGTTCTTATGGTAAAGGTAGGAGGAGCAATATGAGTCTGTAGCCTTTGAATTTACCACATTGCTAGGTTGAAATGCTAAAAGATAGGCTTCACAAGGTAACTTAAATTCTCATGTAATTTTCTTGTGTGTTTGTGTGTGTGTGTATGTGTGTACAGCAAACGAATCAAGTGTGGTGGGACATTTTAATAATAGTTTTAATGTACAGTCATTTTAATGGCTGGGCATACTATAATAAACTGTGGTACCAGTGCTACTTGCAAATAAGAAGCAATTGGAAAGGCTTACCCAAGGCCATGGCTCACCCACACTAATCAAATTAGAATCTTTGGGATTTGGGGAAAATATTTTTAAAGCACTCTCAAGTAATTCTACTATGTGGCAGTTGTTAGCACCACTGGTATAAAGAAATAGGTAATCAGGAATAAACTTTCTATTTCAATGTCCACTTACTGAAAGCTGCTATCCTCCAGATGGCTGACACTGTTCATTTATTCAATGTTTTTCTTATTTCTGAGTATAATATATTCATGCTGTTGAGTAATTCTAACATAAAAGGGTAAACAGGGAAATCCCATAATTTTGAAGCATTGAAGTAAAAAGCCAAAGTTTCCCACCAGTTCTCCCTTTCTCCCTAGAGGAATAAAATTCTTAGGTCATTGTGCTCTCTGATAATTCCTTTATTGCTATGTCTTCTCTAAAACTTAGCAATGATATTATGTATTTATTTTTATTTTTGTCAGTACTAGTGTTTGAACTCTAGGCCTCATGCTTGCTAGGCAGGTGCTCTACCACTTGAGCCACTCAGCCAGCCCTGTACTGTGTTGGGTATTTTTTAGATAGGGTCTCTTGAACTATTTGTCCTGCTGGCTTCAAACCACCATCCTCCTGGTCTGTGCCTCTTGAGTAGCTAGATTTACAGGCATGAGCACTGATTCATGGCTAGCAATGACAGTTTAATGGACAGATCAATGCTATGGGAAAATTCTAAAGCAAGTGGATTTGTTTAGAGCAGAAGCCACTGTATGGCTAGCAGGTATTTCCACATCACTTGCAGGTGATGCTGTACCTGTCTCCTCTGCAGTAAGATATGCAGGCTACAGGAACTAGGAGGAAGCCTCTCTTTTCCTCCAGTCTTGTCAGCTTAGTCTTTTAAAAACTGATTCTATAAGCATTTCTCTAAATTCTTTTTTTCAGTGATTTATTTCCATTTTTTGTTTTGTGAAAGCCTCACTTGCAGTTTTTTGCATGATTTTCTGCTGTTGAAAAATTATGCAAGAGGGGTTTTTACCAGGCAGATTTTGGTGGGTAACTTTGTTCAAATGTATGGATTATATGCATCCCATGCCTAGGGAAAAATGTATTTCATTCTGGCATGGAGGAGTATTGTCAGTGTTAGACATCAAAGGAAAACTTCTTTATTTAAATTTTTCTTCTTTTTAGAAAACAACCTCATTGAGTTTTTTTTCTAGGGATGAAGCCAAGAACGATGAAAGAACCTGTGTCTACTCCATCACGAGTGACCCACAGGGATCAGGAATGGTATGATGCTGAAATTGCCAGAAAACTGCAAGAAGAAGAACTTTTGGTGAGCACATTTTAAGGCAAAAGTTCAGGTGAATCAGGTTTTTTGTGAATTGAATCACATCTCAATTACATAATGAATTTTATAGGGCCTATAAAATTGTAGTCCTCTCTCAGTTGAGAAACTGGTATCTTTTTTGATGGGTAGAAAAATCAAGACAGTGGGAATGGAGTACAGTAGTTACCCCTTACTCACAGTTCACTGTCTGTGGTTTCAATACCATGGTCAAATGTAATTCAAAATATTTGATGGAAAAATCTAAAAATAAGCAGTTAGTATCTTTTGTTATAGTATTTTGTTATACGTGTTCTCTTTTGTTATTTTAAATCTTACTGTTTATGATTTGTAAGTTAAACTTTATCATAGGTATGTATGTGTAGGAAAAATGCCATGTACATAGGGTTCTGTACTGTCCACTGAGTGTGTTGGAAACTACCCTAAGTAGATAGGGGTAGTTAATTCCTGAGTGAGCATTAGCAGCAGCCTCCCAGCATTGTTAAGTTCTGGTAATTCCCTAAGAACTTGATGTAGAATTTAATGAAAACAGTCCCTTCTCTGACAATAAAAGTATACCAGCTGATGAGCAACTTCAGAGATGTTAATCACAACTAACTTCAAATGCCAGCTTATTTTATATAAGATTTTGAAAGTGGAAAGTGTGGATTCCAATGAAATTACTCTTTTTGGTATGTGTTTTGTATACCACAGGCTACCCAGGTGGACATGAGAGCAGCTCAAGTAGCCCAGGATGAGGTAAGTTAATGAGTTAATGAGTTTGCCCTACATTATTTTGAAATATCCCAGTAATTTTCCACCCATAACTCTGTAGTTAATTATATTGACTGGATATTATTTAGGAGATTGCTCGACTTCTAATGGCAGAAGAAAAGAAAGCGTATAAAAAAGCCAAAGAGCGAGAGAAGTCATCTCTGGACAAAAGGAAGCATGACCCTGAGTGGAAGGTAGTATGTGTTTTTCATTTGTTTATTTGTTTAATTAGAAATGAAAAGGGGACTCTGATTTTAGGATAAGGTCTGCAAATATATTTAGGATATATAAATTATCTGTATTATCTATGTGAATCTAATGTGTAAAAGTTGTTTCACTGTGAAAAATCAGAGTTCTGGGAAATAACTATATAAGAAGTTTCTGCTAAGATTAAAGAGCTCATTGTCTTCAATATAAGACCAATGAGATGCAGGTGCTTCTAATCCTCACTGTTCTTACTTTTTATGTGCTCCCATTGCAGAAGAATGAAGTATTTTTCTGTGCTTTCAAAATGTTCACACTGTCCTGCTTGTTCTCTGTCAACATGCTCTTTGTGCTTGCACTATCCTTCATCCCTACCATGTACCTGTTTCTCTTCCCTTTGATATAACCTGACCTATGGAAGACTGACAGTAGTAATTAATGCTTAATGTCACAGTATGAGCCTGGACTGGTATCTTTCCCCTCATTAATCAGAAATAGTTGATAAAATAGGCAGTGACTGCAATTCATTCTGCTGTAAAGTTATTTGATTTTTGTATATAGTGGTTCCAAGTTTAATTTAATAGACTACTCATCAGTGACTTTGCAGTATATCACTCTGGACCTATATGAAATACAAAAGTATCTTTTCCTGAGTAATGCCAAATAATGTAGAGAGGAAGACAAGTTTTAGACAGCTAACAAATATAAGGCCAAGTTGGGGGAAGAAGAGCAGATGAAGAAGATTCATATAGTGTCATGATACACATTCTTTTTTACATGATCTTTACTACTGTTCTCTCAATTCTTTCTTGGGTCTCTGATCCCAACTCACAGTCTCCGTAATGGTAATGAGACAGAAGACGACCTGGTAATGGTATTGCTCTACTGTTTCCTCTTCCTTAGTTATAAAGTGTCAGTCTTAAAAAGAAATGGAAGTATTATTTCCATATTAATTATATTTACTTAGCCCCCCCCTTGGCCTTTTAGAAATTAAGTTTTTTTTTTTAATAATTCTTTGCAATTAAGGACTCCCAGATGCTTCTACTTCATAGAAGAAACCATAGTTACTCATATTCTTTGTCAATAGGAAAGGATAGGTATTTTATGGATTATAAATAGGACGATGGCCACATTTCTAGCAAGAATTATGACTCCTATGATTTCTAGGCTCTATAACTGATGCTAGCACAGTTCCTTTTCTGGAAAAGTTGACTCGCATGGGACTTAATAGCTTGGCTGGAAAAGCGCGAGTCCTAAGTCGGATGTACAGAAGAAACTGTGAAAGCCCAAAACTAGATTGCATTGACTCGTATCCTCAGTTCTTACCAGTTGCGCTGCTGTTACGTTAATGATCTGTAGCCAAGCATACCTCTGTGGGGAAGCATGTTCATTGTGTGTGTAGTGACTTCATCTGGGTGTACTCATAGCCTTCATCATACCCTTATGCTTATAATTTTTTAACCTAAGTGGTTGCACATAAAAATACGTTATGTTGCTTAACTAAATGTAACCTAAAATTCCTAAAGGAAAGCTTGACATACGGATACATAATTTCTGATCTTTCTTGTGTGTGTGTGAATTTGCGTGTTTGTTTTTCTGTCCATAGTCAAAAGCAACTAAATCAATACACTCAAAGTCAAAGGAGAGTGATGAAGCTCACCGTTGTAAGAATGACAGGCCAGCAAGGTAAGATGATACCTGAAAAGGAGAATGAGGAAGTTGACTTCAAGGTGAATAAGGATATGTCAGTTCCCTGAGAAGACTGTTCTCTGGAGAGGATCTTCAATTTTGAGGTGGTATTATGTGCGACAGGGTTATTTTTAAACTGTCTTAAATTGAGTTGCATAAGTCAGGTGACTTTTTACAGAATCTGGGATGTACAAGGAAGGATGTGCTTCTTTTTTGGGAGGGAGGAGGCAATTCTTTTCTCTGCATCTGAGTCTCAAGGTTCTAGACAATTATTTGAGTCATTGTAGACACTGCATCCCACTAGAACAAGTAGTTGTGTACTTCCTGACTTCTCACAGACAGTCTTGAGTCATAGTTTAAGGAGTAACTGTTGTCTTTACACCTCTGGTTGTCAGCACTTAAGTCTGGGGAAGCAAACTCTTTGTTTATTGCTTTTTATTTCCTTTCAGAAGAATATGTGGGTGAACTATGAAGAGAAAATATTAAATACAGAAAGATGGCTAGGCGGAGTAGGCGAGAAGGAGGAATGGGGCAAGGTGGCCAGAAGGAAGTATATTGTGAGCTTTCACCATATAAAGAAATGATAAATACTTGAGATAAATATGTTTAATCTGATGTAAATATTATGTACCATATACATACACCAAAACATCATGTTACCTTGTTACTATAGACAATTGTTACGTTTCCATGTATCCATTAAAAATTAATTTAAATGAAAAAGAAAAGTAACACTGAATCTATTATTCTGAAAACTCTGAATTATTAAAATCTTGGTTTTTGGTTCTGATTATTAATATTTATTAAAATTATTAAACATAAAGTTTTATTATACTGAAAAACATACACTGTCATTGTCACTTATTGCCCATGCTACAACTGCTAGACTTGCTTCCTTTTAAGTGAGTATATTTAGTGTCTCTTAAAAAGCCATCCTCTATTTTTAAACTCTTGTGCTTTTAAAAGGTAAATATACTTCAGCAAATTTTACCAGGGTTGTTTTGCTCTAAGGACAATAGTAGCATAGTCTGTCTAATTATATACAGTCTTTTATCTTGCAACTTCTGGCTAAGTACATACCAAACATTTTTAAGCACATACTAGGATTACATAGTTTTATGCATCCCCACCAAATCCAAATGAAATAATAGCAGCTAATCTGTTCCCAGTAGGTAAATATGACTGATTATTAATCTTTTCTTAATCAAGTGAATTCCAATAATTTTTAGGGTTATTTTGCAGTCTTCAATGTCCTTGGCTTCTTTAGAACGCTGATAACTTTGACAGCAGATGTGATAGAGCAAACTGGATGGCTACTTAAGAAGGCTTTTTAAAGTTGAAAGTAAATTTCCAGAATGTAAATAGGTACTCTGTAAATTTTGAGAATATTGAAAGAATGAATCAAATGATCCTGTATTAAAAGTGGCTGTTATAAAATTAGCAAAAAGTGACATTGGCTAGTAGAACTTAAATCAGTCTTGGATACAGAAATACCTTGATCAACTAAAATGTAATTGCAGTTTTCTGGTGAGAATTTGGGATTTCCTTCTTTACATTTAATCATGGTGGGAAAGTTTAGTTAGCTACTTGTACAGAAAGAGTTAGCTTCAAGGACTGACAGGCATGGACTTCTGCAGTTATGATGCAGTAAGAGTGATGTAGTAGTATTGCAGCAGGAGCAATAGATGTAGAAAGAAGAAAATCCTCATGTAGAGCTTGTAACATCCATTGTCTAAATTCCAATTACTTTTCCATTACAAGACTTTTCTGTCTAAAGAAATAGATTACCATTTAGTAATCTGAATTAATTCTAACTCTTTGTAATTGGAAAAAGTTATAACCCAAGATCCAAAGTATTTTAGCTAACTGGTTATGATGGTGCAAGCTTGTACTTATTTGGGAGACTGAGGGCTGTGATTGAGAAGATCACCATTAGAGGCCAGCCTGGCGAGGGGAGAAGTTAGCAAGACCCCATCTCCAGCAATAAAGCTGGGTGTTGTGTTGTGTGCCTGAGTTTCAGTTACGTGGGAGCCATAAATAGGATGGTGATCCAGGCCTATATGGGCAAAAACAGGAGATCCTATCTGAAAAGTAACTATAAGCAAAAAGGGGTTGAGGTGAGACTTAAGTGGTAGAGTGCCTGCCTAGCAGTAAAGCTCTGTGTTCAACCCCCAGTACCACCAAAAAACAATGACAAAAAAAAATGACAACAACAAAAAACCAAAAAAAGAATTCTCCAATTTTAGCTATACTCTTAACTGTTCAACAACCATCTCCTTTGCAACTAAATAACTTGGAAGCAGCCGTGGGAGCAGGAAGTCAGGATTTGTCCTCTGTAACCCAACTGAGTAGAATAGCTCACTAAGAGAACTGAGGACTGTCTGGTTTTTAGAGTGATTTGTTTATACTTCCATGCAGACCACAGAGGACTGTTGGCATCCATACTTTTGTCTTTCTGATGTCTGGGTCACCTAGTGAGGTTAATGAAAAAGTAAAGAATAGATTGCCAACGAAGATTACCAGCCCTCTTTTGGGCCTGAGTCACTTTTTAAACCAAGTTTGTGAAGCCAACTCCTGGAGTCAGATTGCTTTTTCTCAGTTTTTTCTACCCGGTCTTATGGTACGGTACTTTTTTAAGGTGTTAGAAATGTTACAAACAATGAATGAAAAACGTTACTCATTTATTTTCTAAAATTTTTAAATGAGAGGCACTATGGTCACGTTAATTATATGGTTGTAGTACAGGAATGAAAATATAAAAGTATGGATATCTTATGAAATAAATTTTCAAGTGGTATTTGAAAGTTTAAGACTTAGATACATATGAATGTATGCATGTGAAAATATAGTTACATACATATATTTACATACACATATATTCTTGTGTGCAGACATAGCCACTGCTATTGCTGCTGCTGCTGCTAAAAACACCCACCTATGTAGCTCTGTAGTGGTACAGAGTACTGGTTTTGACTCAAGCTGCGGTTCTATACTTGACAACTGTATGGACTTGAACCAATCATTTAACATCTCATCTAACCTGTCTCTAAAATATGTGCATGCTAGCTACCATACAGACTTGCACTGAGAACTCATTGAGATTATCTATGTAGAACTCATAGCAAATGCAGTCCTCACTGTGTGCACAAGTTTACATCCCTTGTTGAACTCTTCTATGTCAACAAAAACCTGGAAGAAAACCTAGTGACAGCAATAGCTGGAGATAGGGCAAGAAATTTGAACATACTTGGGTTGATTTTTATATTACAGAGCCCATTGTACCAAGCTGACTTTAACTTTAAAAAAAAACTCAAAAAACTTATGCCTTATATTCAAACAAAACATCCTACAGTATGGTTATATATTTAAAAAATATTAACCTCTCCTGGTTCTATGCCTTAGTGCAAAAACAGAGTACATCTTTGGAAAACAAAACAAAGAATGAGAGGTTTTGGTCATCTTTATCTATAACAAATATTTACAGAAATCTTTATTTAAGTAGTTAAAATAATAAAACCTGAAAGTAATGGAAATTTCCTAGCTTTAAAAGTTGCCATTGTATTACATAGAAAGCTGCAAATGCTTGAGACCTACTTTGCCACCTAGTGGATAAAGGAACTTTGCCTGTGAAATTTTCTCAATTTCCTCCTTCCCTCTATCCTCACAGATATATCTCATCCTTCCTGACTCCTTTCATTTCTTTTTTTCCTTACCTTCATAAATTTCTTTTCTTCTTTCATTTCTTCCTCTTCCTTTTTCATTTCTACCAAAACAAAGTAAATTTCTTTTTAAAAATGTAGTCATACTTCACTAATCATTCTTTCTCTCGCACAATGTTGGAGGCGTATGAAGTGCTGAGAAAATGTTTGTTTTGATTGAATTATAGCATCAAAATACAAGAACAAGGGCTAGGGGCATGTCTCAAGCAGTAGAGTGTCTGCCTAGCAAGCCTGAGGTCCTGAGTTCAAACCCCAGTACTATAAAAAACCAAACAGAAACAAGCAAATAAGGAACAATAGCAGAAAATAATTTCTTCAAAGTCATGTAACTGCCCAGGAACTAAAGAGAATTCTAAAGCATTTTGGCTTTTCATTTCTACAGAAAATATTTTTACTATGTAATCCTGTCAGAGGTAGAATTGAAGTAACCATTCCTTTAGATAACTCTTTTAATTCTGACTTTCCTTTAGGCCACCACCACCTTCCATGATAGAAGCTGAGGATCTGGATCACACTCATTTTACAAACCAGCATAGTTCCACACGTCATTTCTCAAAATCAGAGTCCTCTCATAAAGGTAAGAAGAATATGTGTGGCCAAGTTTCAGCTCTTTATTTATAAAAGCCTCATGTTATGATAGAAAGTCAAATACTGTCTTCTGATTACTGAAGCAGAAAAATAAGTTATCTTCCTCTCAGATCACTATATTGCTCTTTCTTTATTAAAAGTCACAAAAGACAAAAAATGAAAAACAAAGCACCCTAAATTGAATGAAAGATTTTTATGTATTTGCATTCTCCTCCAGAGAAAGCTTAGGACTCTCACCAGATGATTATGACTCCCATTTAGATCTGTTGGACTGTTTTTTCTGTACAAGTTGAGCATTTGTAGTCAGAAAATCTAAAATCTGAAACACTTGAATGCTAACTTACTGCTCAAAATGTTTCAGATTTTTTGGATCATTTCAGATTTCAGATTTTTGGATTGGGATGCTCAACTGTTGTCTATACAGATATTCTAAAATCTGAAAAACCTTGAAAACTGAAACAGTTCAGCTCCAAGTGTTTTGATTAAAATGTACTTGACCTTTTTTGGCACTTGTTTTCCATCTGCCCGTGACTGCATGGATTAGATTTAAAATATGCACATGTACATACCACATAAAACTTTTGTGCAGAAGAAATATGGCATAAAGAAAGTGAGGAAATAATACGGATGTCTAAATTGGACTAATTTTTGAAAATGGAAGGAATAGTTGGGTAAATACTTTCCAAGAATATCATTCATTTATGTGTACCTTTGTGAGAGTTGTAAAATTACATAAAAATGTAGTTTTTTATTTTAATTTTCTCATCTGCAAAATAGTACTAGTCTAAATATTTAATCCAGAGCTGTCAAGATCATGTAAAATAAAATATATGAAAGAAGTTTGAGGATTGCAGTAGATTTTATAAACAGAAATAAGTTTATAAACATAAATAAATATAAACTTAAAACATAAGTTCTTACTGATTGACTTTGTTATATTTTTGAGAATTTCTTAGATGATAGTTTGATTACCATATTCCATAGCTAATGGTGGTTTTTCACAAATTGATTTAAATAACTTTTTTTGCTGTCGTTAAAAAATATCATTGGGCACTGACATTTATTCCTAGTTAAATCAGAGTCTCTGGGAAAGAATTATCGGACATTTGAGTTTTTTAAAAGCTTCTATTTCCCATTCTGACATTCAGTCAGTGTCCAGAATAAGACAAAAGACATAATTTAAAAGTGGAATTTGTTAGTCATTATAAATATCTTCATCAAAATAACCCTCTCATCACAATGATGCATGCATCATTTTGGGAGGGGACAATTTCTCAGTGTCATACATTTGATGCATAATATTGATGTATATAAATATTTTATAGTCAGACACAAGGAGGAACCACTAGAAATAGAAGCAAAGATAAATTATTTTGCTTGGTCAGGGAAAAACTTTAGATTCAGAGATTTTTCCCTAATTGTTTTTCTTTTTTTTTCTCCTCTCCCAGGTTTCCATTACAAGCATTAAAAAACCTAGGAATCTGCCTTGAAAATGGACTTGCTGTAGCAAATATTACTGAATGATACAGAAAGCATCGCACATTTGTTTTGTTTTCCTATGTTTGCATTTCTGGGATTTATTCTCTAGTGTTTTCTGACTATAAATAATTTCAGTTCATTTCACATGTTTTGGCTATTCCCGATCACTTGGGCAGTATAAAAAAATGTAGCTTCTGAATATTGGCCACCTCAGGCTACATACACTTCCTGGGATATAATATCTAAGATCTCCAAAAAAATGTTATTTTATGAGGTATAGAGTATTGGTATCTAGGAACTAGGCTTTAGTTAGCAGTTAGAATTGCATGAAGATGAATAATCAAAGTAAAACATAACATTTGGAAGCAATACAGAATAAAAGAATATAAGAAATGACTTTTTGGTGCATTAGTGTATGATGTTTGGAAGGACAAGCATTTGCTTTTGATTTTCTTCAGGAAAATAAAAAAGTCACAACCATAAAATATTTAAAAAAACAAAAGGAACACTTGGAGCAGTTAAAATGTTATTCTGAACACATAGACTTAGTAGAGGTCTTGCATATCTTATAAGCCCTCCTGGGAAAATCAACCTAGAAATCATTATTTAACACTGTGCTCATCTTTGCTCAATAGCAAGGCTTTTAGAAAACTCCAGGCAATTGGCCACTTATTAGTATTTATTGGCCGAACTTAATTCTTTAAAGTTTTAACTCAGGTCTGTATAAAATCAGCTAAAACTAAGAACCTTTACATTTATTTGTAGAGCTAAGGAAAATGGAATTGGAAGATCATTTCTATGAGATGATACTGTCAGTCTCTGGCTGTAGAGTGAAGGTTCTGTCTTGCTTAAAAGACAGTAGTATTTGTTGGCAAGCTCTCAATTATGTTTTGTGTAACTGTCCATGATTAGATTAATTCAAAATGCAAGTTGAATTTTATACAAATACTCTTTCTCTGAGTATTTGCTTCTACATACTTATTAGTGGGCATTGTATTCCTTTTTACACAAACTTTAAGTCCCTCCTTCAAAAAATTCAGAGGCTTTGTGTAGCTGTTCACTCATAAAATGTTTATTTGCCTATGCTACTTAGTTAACATAAATGGCAATCAAAGTACATGTAATACATTCCTTCAGCTTGGCTTGCTATTGTTTATCACTCTATGAACTAGCATTCTTGACATTTCAATATGCTGTTTATTTAAGAAATACATAGGTATCTAGAAAGTAAGTTGTTAATCATTTTTGCCTTTACTGGGAACTGCCTTCTATTTGCCTTATCTTTGCAGATAGTCTTAAAGTTGGGCAGTATTCAGGGAAGCTATTTCAAACAGATTCTCAGAATGGTTTTGTATCTCTTGTTTTGAGAAAGCTCTTTGGTTTCAGAAAGTTTTATGTAATAGGAACTTAAGTAAAAGGCACCTGAGAATTAAGTTTTCAACAAATGGTAATTTGGAAAGAAAGGGGTGTGGTCATTTTGGGAAAATAGAGGAAGAAGAAAAAAACAGGGCTTTGAAGAGTTGTGATGAAATGAATATGGAAAAATCTTCATTTGGGAAAGGAAAGCAAAATGGAAATAGTAGCCTTAAGTCAAATTCCACATAGTGATTTGAATATCTAAAGTGTAGCCTTGGTGAACTTAAGAGTAATGCTATATTTTTCTTTATCTGCCCTGTGATTTTACTTCATGTTTTTAATTTTTTTGTTTTATGGTAACTTTAAAGAAAAAGTACAGTTGCATTTTTACTTGATAGGAAATGGACAACATCATTTGCAATATTTTTACTTTATAAATGTTTATTTTTCTATATCATAAAATGATCAGTTTTCCTTTTTAAAACTGTACATTTCTTTTGCTTCCCATGTATTTCATTCAGTCATATTTATTATTGTAAAATGTTAACTGGACTGGACATACTTCAGACAAAAAAAACAAAAAAACAAAAAAAACCAAAGTCAGACCACTTACCATAACCAGAATGCTAGTATTTCAGCTGTCTTGGTGAACCACCAAAAGGTAGCATTGCCCTTGTGACAGCCAATTCAGCATCAGTATTGAAGATCTGTTAAATTTTTTTAGGTTTTTAACAAATTAGAATTTTAAAATACTTTATTTTATTTTATTTTTTGTAAAGCAAACATTTTTGTAAGAGTTTCAGTAATTATTTACCTATGGATAATGAAATAGAAATCTATTCTTTCTCGTGCAAACAATGTAGTAATCATCTTTGAAATGATGGGCACAGTTGTGTTGTAATGAACTGCCACTGTTACTGTTTTCTTCTCTGTCATTTTTATATAAACGTGGAAACATTTATTTTTTTCCTACTTCTGCTGGAACACATGAAATTTAATTTTTAGGCCCACAATGTATTATGCTGTATGTTGTGGTATAAACTAATTACCTATGGCCTTGATAATTCTTTCTGTTTCTGAATTGCTCTTCTCTGGAGGCCAGGCCCCTCTAACACCAGTGTTGCTGAATGAGCACCAAATGTAAGGAGCTTTATCTTAAAACTGTTTGACATGTACACTCTCTCTCCTACCTAATGTTCTATAAACCATTGCCTAGAGGAGAGGTCAGATGAGAGTCAAATGTTCTGACTTGAAAAAAAAAATGATTCTACTATACAAGCTACTGTTAGGTATAATTGTTTTCTTGAGAGAGTGAACATTGATTCATACCATCAAAAAGAACATTGACCTTTTTTTGAAAGTGATTTAATATACCATTGAAGTACTGTTTCTCAGGTGACTTTACAGCAATCTGCAGCATTCCAATGTATTACAAAATCAAAACAAAAACCAAACCTAAACAACATCAAAAAAAAAAACCTGTGGGTTTTTTTTTTTTTTTGTCCTAGAGAAATGATAATAGTTATTCTTACGGGAAAACCTTTTTAGAATGGCGGTGGCCACTTGGATCTAGGTTACCATATTTCAAAATATGTGACCTTGGGCCTTATGTCCCACTGAACTCTCTAGAAAATTCCAAACCCAACCCATATCTCTCTTCTTCACTTTAGCTGGAAGCTGAACTAGGTGAAAAAATTCATTATTGACAGTTCTCCTTTTTCTCTTCACAGTTAAAACAAGTCAGAATAAAAACAGCTTTTTGCTGATAGTTATTTTTCTTTAGCAATGTCATATCTTCTGTAAAATTGTCTTGTGCCAAATTGGAATTACCTTACTATAACATGGTGCATTAAGTTTGCCACATAAGTGGTTAATATTTTTGGGCCTTGATTTTTAATGAATGTTGCTTTTGTATAAAAACCACTTTGGAAATGCCAAGATTTGTTATCAATGATGATTTTCTTACAAGATAACTCTGATGATTGGCTAACATCTTCAGCCTAATAAAGAAATGAGAATCCTGAGAAAACAGCTAGAATTACTGAGAATAAAATAGAGGTTGAAGTAAAAGTAGCTTTTCCCTTTGGGGAGGGAGCATTAGTGTTAGAAGGGAGCACTGTTCAGGTAGATTTCACTGTACGTACTGTGCTATATTCTGATACAGCCTTTTACAAACAATCAAAGAATCAAAATGTGATTTCAGAAAAAAGAAAAAGATTTTTAAGCTATGTACTAAGTCCATTATATAGTCAGAGAAATGGCTCTAGAAAATGGTCCCATTTTCTCATCTCTGCTGGTACCTGAGTTTTAAAGCCATATTTGCTTATCTTACTGTTGAAAGAACACTTAATCTCTTCTTAGCCTATGATGTCTTATATGGGCAGAGAGAAGCAAACTAGAGACTATCCTGTTAATGTTGCTTGGGGCACAGTGCTATGCAAATTCTTGGTGGAGGAATCTTCCATCCATGGTGATATGTAAAACTATTCAAGGGAAGAACCAGAGGCTGGTGTTGATCCTGGCATCTAACAACTCAAGCCTAATTCTAGAGAACTCAAGCAGGCTAAAGGAGACTGGGAAAATGCCAATAGTACAGAGCCACTCTTCTGATGAGCCCTCCACTTTATGCCAGCAAGGTCCATGAGCAGTTTTGCCTTAAATTAATTTGATTCCGTCTGAGGTCAGTCTATCGCTGTATGTGAATGACAGTCAACACCTAGTGATGTAAAATTCACAGATGATCCCCGAGTATCCTGTTCCTTAAATTTTGACCTTCCCTCTCACTGTGTTGTGGCTGACCTGTGACACTGACAGATACATCATCTCAGATCCCTGAATAGCAGAGGCTTGACCAAAAAGACTGGTAGAAAAAGTGTATTTCCTGGCCAGATCCTTTATATCAGGGATAAGTTTCTGAATAATTAAGAGTTTAATGACCTTTTTTTTTTTAATGGTATCTGTGTAGGAAATACTTCTAAAGATTCTGTTGTGCAGTGAAGACATTCAGATTTTTGGTTTGTAAGAATATCAACAATATTTTTGTGTATTGAAATGATTATTTACCACTAACAGAAAAAAAAAGAAACCAGACAATATTCATTTGCTTGAAATGGAAATTTTCAAATGTGAAGAACATTCTGTTTATTACTTTTAGGAGAAAATAAACTAAGAAAACTTTTGCTATAGTAATGAAGATTCCAGAATGATTTTTAAAGGTTCTTTTTAGTGCCTCAAACTAACACAATCATGCAAGTAATCATGTTGATTTATATCTGGCTCTAAAAGCCATTTTCTTTTCCTTAAACATATCTGAACACTGCCTAATAACATGTTCCCAATAGATTTAATATTCTTTTGCATATTCTCAGCGAACTAGAAAACGTTTCTTATCTTTTTTTTTTTAGTAACTTTCTTAACAGAGGGAGCCAGCACTGCTGATTTCAGCATTTCAGATTAGGGCAGAATTAATTGTGTAAGTTAGCGCCCTATCATTCATTGGTAAGTTAAAATACAAAGAATAGAAGAATTGACGGAGTTTGAGTAACATTTCTTTCATGAAAGAGAAAGGATTGAGAACAGTGAAGAAAAGAAACTTGAGATATACTGTGACACATTAGATACTTAGGGCACATTTTGTTGCACTGAATTTCCATAATTCATAATCATAATTGCTAAAATAGTTTCTAGCTATTAAAGTGGGTGAGAGGATTTTTGGTGTCAGAATGTTTATAGTTCTGATTAGTTTCCGGAATCGCCCACAGGCTATTACTTTAGCTCTTGCTATAAACTGAAAGCCAAATGCCCTATGTCAGAAATAGCTGTACTTTTCACTTGCCTCTTATAGGCAACCCAATATTTCATGAAATACTGTAAGTTAAGAGCATATAAAAATGATGTTTCAAGATGAGAATTCTCAGTAATGTGGGGTTTCTCCTCAGAAGAGTCTGTCCCAGCACAGCATATATTTTGAAAATGTGCTAAATTAAAAGTATAAGAGTTTGCTCATATAAATCAGTTACTTAGGAAACTTGAGGTGATACTGTCATTTGTCTTATAATTTGGAAAAGTGATCTTTTGAGAGAGAGACTATACACTGCCCAGCCACTTACCCAGATTCTTTGGTAAGTGTCCTTTGATATTTGGAATGTGGATATGTTTATAAAACAGATGAGATGATATCCCACGTGCTCATCAATTTATAGCCAAACCCCCAACAGAAAAGCAGTTTTGATATAGCTATTTCATGGAGCTAAACAGATCCTTGATGGAATATAGTTGCTTGTGTGAGGACAGAAAACAGGCCACCTCAAACCACATGCCTATCTAGAGATTAAGTGAAACTGTGAGGGACACTTTGTGTATGCCTTAAAGGTGACTGGTGGTGGCTACTGGTGGATATGTATGTAACTATCTGAATTAGGCTGATGGAAGCAATCTATTTTAATGCACCGTCATACTGCACAAGTTGTTCTTGCTCAGAACCTCATTGAAGAGGATGAGAAACATGGTGCTGGTTACTTCTGTGTGTCTCGGGAGGCTGCGGAGGTCAACATCATTAAGGCACTGTCCAGTGCTCAAGCCTTCCTTAAATGCCACTTGTGCATCTGCATCATTCATCTATGCAAGCTTGTGTTTTCATGGTTTGTATTTTACACGTTATATTTGTTTCTTCAAGCATCAGGTTTGACATTGATGTTATGAATAATTTTTAAGCCAAAGTATTGTAAAAGTAAAGTCTGTGTGCTTTGTTTTCCTGAATGGTTTGACTGGGGTAAACACCTGTCTTGTCCTTTTCTTAATAAACTCATCCATTTGTTAAGTCAGTGATCTGTATTTTGTTTTCTTTACTGTGCTCAGGGACTTGGGAAGTTACAGGAGTATTATTTGCCTTTTTGTTCTTTACTGAACAACCCTAATACACTCTTGTTTCATAGTGGGAAAATTATCTTGTTCCATGTCCACCTATTTTCTATGAACATCTGTAACATGAAACTGGTGCATAGTAGAGTGAAAATCTTAACAAATACTCCCAAGTATAAATCAAAATAGAAGCCATATTTCGTGGGTGCTGTTGGTGGCATCATTAATGTATTTGGGAGAAAAAATAACAAGTAAGTGGATGTTTGCACTTTCTAACAACTAAAGTCTGCATGAGTACACTACAGTTTGCACTATACTGATGCCTTGTAGACAGGTGGATTTTGAGAATATTGGTATTAGTAACTACCATTTACTTAATCTTTCCTTTATAAGGCTTGTTGCTTTAATTCACTAGTCTAGATGGGATAGGCATAATGTAGAAACTGACCCTGCAGAATTTTAGCCCCAGTAGAGCCGGGTATGGTGGCTCACATCTGTAATCCCAGCTACTTGGGGGCTGAGATACTAGGATTGTGGTTCAGTGCCAGTCTAGGCAAAAATGTTAGTGAGATGTTACCTAAAAATCAAGTTAAGGACTGAGCTGGGGAGGGCAGCATGACTCAAGTTCTGCAGTACTGCAACCCCGCTCCCCCCAAAAAAAACCCAGCAACATTGGCGTGGTGACATGCCTGTCACCCAGCTATGTGGGAAGCATAGGTAGGAGGATCACAGTCCAAGGCGGGCAGAGATAAAATGTGTGAGACCCTCTGTGGATAACAACTAAAGCAAAAAGGGTTGGGGACTTGGCTCAAGTGGTAGAGCACACAAGACCCTAAGTTCAAACTCTAGAACCTCCAAAAAAAAAAAAAAAAACCTGTTTTTGATTACTACTAAATTGACTTTCGTTTCCCTGGAGCAAATCTTCTGGCCTTCAGCTTCTTCTCTGGTAAATAAAACAGGACACCTAAAAGATCTCTGCAGTCACTATCAGATCCTAGGAATACCAGGGATGAATGACAGTTGAACAAAGTTGATGTGTTGATCAACCTTTGGTCTCTAACTCATCAGAGGAACTTGCCAATAAAAAGGTTGACGCATCTAGTGATAGGAAATGCCCAATATAACATGGCTTTGTGGAATGTGACTGAGTTTGAGTGATGGGCTATGGCCATGTGGTGTGGAGAGGTAGCACGCTGGAAACAAAAGCAGCTATCTACATCTCATAGCTTAGAAACTTGGAGAAATCCTTAAGAAGGCAGTGGACTACAGAAACTCCTAGGGTTGGGATTTCAAGACAATTTCATTTCCATTTCAAGGGAAAGAAAGACCACTTCTTGCCCCATGGTATTTGGGTATCTTGATTTAAGGAGCAAACCAACTAAAGGTTACAACAAAATTAGTTTGCTGCAGAGATCAACAGCACTAAGGAGAGATGGTTCTTGTCCATGCTTTGCTGTGAATATGCCTGAGGACCTGGGGGCCATCGTTTATCCTCTGTGCCTCTGTTCTCTTACCCATCAAGAGCTGCTGGTTTCCTTGATGATTCCAGGAAGAGAGTAGGGTCATGCATTGCTTTGGGTCTGGAAAGTCACAAACACTTCCTAGGCATGCAACTCAAAACCTCAATCTGAT